TGCTTCTGAGCACAAGGTTCCAGGTGGGTATTCACATTGGTCTGTTCAGATGAATATATCTTCATCAATGTTAGATTTTATGAGAGTGCCACTAATGTTTTATTTTGGGATCGGAGGATGGTTTGAGACAAATAGGATTTTGTAGTAATCACCCCTTGTCTAGCAATGTACATATATAAGTTCTGCTGATGCATTTTGAAGGGAGTCCCTTCTTCCTCAGAGCTCTGAGGAAGAAGGGACTCCCTTCGAAACGCGTCAACGGAACTTTTGAGAGTCTCCCCCCCTTGATGTGACTCGCACTGGTCTTGCACTTTAATGCTCCTTTGAGGATCTTACAGGCTTGTTTTACTGCTTTGTTTATGAGTATATATCTCATTTTAATAAAATCACAGTTTTGTATTGAGGTAATGCGCAAGGTTGGGGTGCTTTTTGTTTCACTTTGCAGTACTGGTCGGGCTTCTCCAGCCTTGTTAAGAGCTGCACAACTTTTGATCCATTGGTGGACGAATTTCCATAAGTGGTCCATCCAACCACCCACCCTTGATCTGGGTCCCTGAGCGCAGGAGGTGCTGTTTCTATTTCCATATTTATAAGTGGCATGATAATCAAGGGTTTAATAGAAGCCTTGAGCTTGGTGAACTTTCAGATAAAAGCGATTCTCGTGGTTCTAGAGCTGCCCAATAAATTTTATGTGGCTTTGAAAGTGTTCCTGGTGGTTCCAGGGTTCTGCTGTTTCTCTTGGCAGCCCAAGACCGTGAAAAACTGATTCTGCAGGTTAGACCAAGAGGTGATCGGAGATCATTTCTCCCCCTGCAGCTAATTTTTTCCTCATTACTGGCTTACCATACCTTGTTCTGCACTGTGTCTCTAGGTGGAGGTGGCCATCTTGGTAGAGGAGCAGGGGTTTGCTTCCTCTGATGACTCATGGGCTAAAACTCAAGAAGCAGCAGAAACAGAAAAGGAAACACAGTTCTAAAGAATGAATGAAGGAGAAGCAGGGTGATCCTTATACTGCAGGTCATCAGATACAGCTTCCTCTTCAGCACTGAGAACAGTAAGCAACACATTAGTGAGTTCATGAATTTTTTCTTAAAATTATTATTATTATTTATTATTATACAGGATTTATATAGCGCCAACAGTTTGCTCAGCGCTTTAAAATATAAACTGGTGAGGCTTAGCGGTAGCAGTGCCTCAGATGATCTAACACTGAAGCTACAGAGCTGGAGTGACCAGGCACATGATGTGCACTGCTATTTTCGAGGGTGAATTCAAGATAAAAGATACAAATTTTCTGGTTACTACTTGGTACAATTAAGATTTCCAGATGTTCCCTATAATATAGAAAATCTTCATTTTTCGAGTTCAAGTCTACTTCAACCCACCAGGTGGCGATACCACATCGTCATCTATTTAGTCCTAGCCTTCGCTATAAAAGGATACGAAAGCTACAAGACCAAGACGGGATTCTATTTTTATGCCTGTTTTGCATTTCTCATACTTCATATTCCCATGAGAACTTTTAAATGCAAGACTGCACATCTGGTGCCCCACAAGCTCAAGGACACCCTCTCATTTCTGAACCACTTTTGAACGTCTCAGAAATAAATGTTGGGAGAAAATAGGATGCAAAAAGGATTGTGAGATGTCCTTACTATATATTTTAATTTTATATGAAACTTGAAATGACACACTTCTCAAAAAAATGATCAGCCTAATTTAAAGGCAGGACATACATTATTCATTTTTTGAAAGAGAAAAAATGTATACAATTTGCCCATCCTCACATTGGATATGGATTGGGAGAATCACTCCCACCCAGGGGTGGACTGACAACTCATGGGGCCCCCGGGCAATAGGGGATCATGGGGCATCTGTGTCCTTGCCCAAACTCAAAAAATCCTATGAAAAAGGTACCAGGGGCATCTCATGGGGCCCCCTACTGACCTCGGGCCCTCGGGTTTTCAAATGGTCAATCCGCCCCTGCTCCCACCATGCTATTGTGTTCTGATGGCAGGCAGACTTCTCCGCTGTCAGAATACACTGTCGCCGGCGGCACTGATCGATTGGGAAAAAACCCGAAAGGCTGGTTCTACAGAAGTCAACTGGTAGATTGACTTCTTTACGACTAGACTGCCCATGGGTGGATCAAAATTCATCTGGTTCCTGCTGAACTGGTTGAATTTCTATCCTTGTATGGCCGGCTTTCTGTTGCATATAATTAAAAAGTAACGCCTATGCAGTTCATAAGTAAACTTATAAATACTTCATATATATATGTAGCAGGGGCGGACTGACAACTCATGGGGCCCCCCGGGCAATAGGGGATCATGGGGGCCCTGTGTCCTTGCCCAAACTCAAAAAAGCCTATGAAAAAGGTACCAGGGGCATCTCATGGGGCCCTCTACTGACCCCGGGCCCTCGGGCAGTGCCTGAGTTTCCAAATGGTCAGTCCAGCCCTGGTATGTAGTGACACTGACCCTAGCAAAACTAGTTAAAAACAGTCAGAAAAGATGAGAAGGGAAAAAAATGTCAGTGGCCTCCACCTATAAAACCATTCCTGTTTTGGGGGTCGTCTCATTGTTGCCTATCTAGTGCACCTGTTGTTAATTTCATTGACACCGAAACAGCTGAAACTGATTAACAAAGCCCTGTGCTACTTAGCTGACCAGATCAATAGCCCTGGAGTTTCATTGACTTGATACTATACTCCAAATAATAAGTCTTCCTTTAATTTTTTTGAGCAGTGTGTGTGTATATACAGGGGCGGACTGACCATTTGGAAACTCGGGCACTGCCTGAGGGCCCGGGGTCAGTAGGGGGCCCCATGAGATGCCCCTGGTACCTTTTTCATAGGCTTTTTTGCGTTTGTGCAAGGACACAGGGGCCCCATGATCCCCTATTGCCGGGGCCCCATGAGTTGTCAGTCCGCCCCTGTGTGTGTGTGTGTGTGTGTGTATATATATATATATATATATATATATATATATATATCCAATTTATAGCACCTTGTAAATTTATTAAGAGAGTTGAAAACTCATAAATATCAAAATAACAATGTTTTGGACCTGTTAAGATCATTTACAAATTTACATTTACAAGGTGCTATAGATTGGACTTTTTTCCGTTTGTCTATATATTGGAGTTCGGTGATCTCCATTGTCTGCTCTGCACCTGAAGGATTAAAGCGGAGTTCCAGCTGGAAAAATAAAAATAAAAGTCAGCAGCTACAAAAACTGTAGCTGCTGACTTTTAAAAATACAGTCACTTACCTGTCCCTCGGTCCAGCGGTGTCCTCACTATCGCTGGTTTCACCAGCCGTCTTCTCTCTCCCGATGCCGGCATCTTTAGTGTGGGCCCCCAGCTGTGACAGCTTGCGGCTTCACAGCCGGGTGCCCACTGCGCAAGTGCGAGAAGCGCTGCGCTTTGTGAATGGCCCCGTAGTCTTCTGGAACCTGTCACGTGTCCCACAAGACTACAGGGGAAGAGAGGGGGGGGGGCAACTTTTTCTTCCGATCGCCTAGGCGATTGGAGTGGAAGTGGGAGCGGGTACCTGTCAAATTCGGGTACCCGCTCCCCAAAGGTGCCAATCCTTAATGGGGAGCGGGGGACAAAGCATTAAAGCGGAACTTCCCTTCTTGGGTGGAGCTCCGCTTTAAGTTCCATGCTGGGTGTGTGAAAAGCATCAGATGCCATGGTGTAAAGCACGCCGCCACTGGACTCTAGAGCAGTGGAGACGTGTTCTCTGGAGTGACCAATCACACTTTTCTGTCTGTCAATCCGATGGTTGTATCTGGGTTTGGCGGTTGGCAGGAGAACGGTACTTGCCTGACTGCACTGTGCCAAGTTCAATGTTTGGTGGAGGGGGGATTATGGTGTGGGGCAGGGGCGGACTGACAACTCATGGGGCCCTCGGGCAATAGGGGATCATGGGGCCCCTGTGTCCTTGCCCAAACTCAAAAAAGCCTATGAAAAAAGGTACCAGGGGCATCTCATGGGGCCCCCCCTACTGTCCCCTGGCCCTTGGGCAGTGCCCGAGTTTCCAAATGGTCAGTCCGCCCCTGGTGTGGGGTTGTTTTTCAGGGGTGGAGCTTGGCCCCCTAGTTCCAGTGAAGGGAACTCCTAAGGCGTCAGCATACCAAGACATTTTGGACAATTTCATGCTCCCAACTTTGCGGGAAGAGTTTGGGGATGGCCCCTTCCTGTTCCAACATGACTGCGCACCAGTGCACAAAGCAATGTTCATAAAGACATGGAGGAGCCAGTTTGGGGTGGAGGAACTTGACTGTCCTGCACAGAGTCCTGACCTCAACCCCATAGAAGACCTTTGGGATGAATTAGAGCGGAGACTGTGAGCCAGGCCTTCTCCCCCTGACATCAGTGCCTGACCTGACAAATGGGCTTCTGGAAGAATGGTCCAACCTTCCCATAGACACCCTCCTAAACCTTGTGGACGGCCTTCCCAGAAGAGTTGAAGCTGTTATAGCTGCAAAGGGCGGGGCCAACAATCAATATTGAATCCTCTCTAAGACCGGGAGGTCATTAAAGTTCATGTTCGTGTAAAGGCCGGCCGACCAATACTTTTGGCAATATAGTGTACTTTCATGATGAAACTTATTCTCCCAAAACAAACTAATGCTGTAAGAGATCCACCACAAACGTTATATTGGAGCTGGAGATCCTGTACCGACATGTTTCTGTTCAAAGCGACTACTCTGAGCCACACCCACAGTTATGCTACGCCCACATTCACCTTGCTAAAGCCTGGTACATGCGATGAGAATATCGGACGAGTAATCGTTCTTTTTTTGCATGCTAGTCTCATATCAAAAATGAATAGTTTACTACAGTTGAGAACATTTCCGTAAGAAAGAATAAAACTTCCTGCGATGATGTAATGTATGCTTTTGTTACTGAGCATGCGCGGGTCTTAGTCACTCAAATTTTTTATTGACTGATTAACCACTTCCCGTCCGGCCCATGTACATAAAATGACCGGACGGGAGCAATGCCAAAGCGGGTCGCCGTTTATAAATGGCCCCCACATTCACCACCTGTGCGCACTTTCTGGGAGTACACGGCACCGCGATACGGAGCCCGCTGTGTACCGATCGCTGTACGGGACCTCTGTGTGAGGTCCTGATTCATGTGATCCCTGATTGGCCAATCAGTGATCACATGAATAGGTGTAAGCAAGATGTCACTTCTCCCTGGGAGTGCGTGGCACCGCGATCCGGACACAACAGAACACCAATCACTGTACAGGACCTCTGTGTGAGGTCCCGATCATGTAATTACTGATTGGCCAATCAGGGATCACATGAATAGGTGTAAGCAAGATGTCACTTCTGACATCATTGCTTACTACGTGTGAAATCTGTGAATGATCACAGAGGTCACATGGTACAGGGCTATTCACAACAGCCTTGTACCATGTGACAAGCTGTGACCAATCACAGCTCACACAATATTTCTCAATGGCTGCAAGAATGCAGCCAGAGAGAAGGAGAAATGATTGCTTTTACAGCCTTTATGGGTGTAAAAGCAATCAGTGTAAAAAAAAAAAAATCTTCATCACCCCCCCCACAAGTAGTACAGTGTCACTATGGTGACACTGTACTGATAGGGTGACAGTATGTAAAGAAAAAAAAAAACATCAATAATAATATAATTATTATTATATAATTATTATATAATAAATAAAAAAAAAAATGTAAAAAAAATGTTTTTTTAAATTATAATTTTTGGTTATAAACTAATTTGGGTTATTTTTGTTAACCACAAAATATAGCTGAATACATTTTGGCCAAGATTTATAAAGAAAGATTATTTGAAAAATGTTATAAGAAAAACACTTTTTTTTCAAAATGTTTGGACCTTTTCGTTTATATAGCAAAAAAAATAAAAATCCCAGTGGAGAATAAATAACACCAAAATAAAGTTTTATCTGTCTCAAAATATATGCTAAAAAATTCATATGGGTACAGTGTTGCATGACCGCGCAATTGTCATTCAAAGTGTGATAGCGCTGAAAGCTGAAAATTGGCTTGGACTGGAAGGGGGTGTGAAAGTGTCCGGACTGGAAGTGGTTAAACAAAATCTCACAAGATCAGGGGCGGACTGACAACTCATGGGGCCCCTGTGTCCTTGCCCAAACTAAAAAAAGCCTATGAAAAAGGTACCAGGGACATCTCATGGGGCCCCCTACTGACCCCGGGCCCTCGGGCAATGCCCGAGTTTCCAAATGGTCAGTCCGCCCCTGCACAAGATAAAAATTTTGTGCTTGTCCCTTCAGATAATTGTGTATGATCGGCTCTCGTAAGCTTTGTAACGATCAGATCATTGGACGATCACTCTGAAACAGGAGCGGACTGACAACTCATGGGGCCCCCGGGCAATAGGGGATCATGGGGCCCCTGTGTCCTTGTCCAAACTCAAAAAAGCCTATGACAAAGGTACCAGGGGTATCTCATGGGGCCCCCTACTGACCCCGGGCCCTCGAGCCCGAGTTTCCAAATGGTCAGTCCGCCCCTGCTCTGAAAACATTTTTGTTGTGTATCAGGCATGACAAAAAGGAGGGATAACCGACTGTGCAAGGATGGCAAGACTGAAATGTATGCTAAACACCAGACAGATATAAAAGATACAAATGTAGCTTTGTAATCATCATCTTTATATCATTACATGCATTTTTTATTGCAAGCAGTGTAAGCACCTGAATGTGACCTGGTGTCAGCCTCTTCTGTTGTACAGCAGGGCTGGAGTGGAAGAGAATGAAGCAGCACAATAAGCCAGTCAGTTCATGTGCTCACAAGCAGGGGTGGACTGACAACTCATGGGGCCCCCCGGGCAATAGGGATCATGGGGCCCCTGTGTCCTTGCCCAAACTCAAAAAAGCCTATGAAAAAGGTACCAGGGGCATCTCATGGGGCCCCCTACTGACCCCGGGCCCTCGGGCAGTCCCCGAGTTTTCCAAATGGTCAATCCGCCCCTGGTCACAAGACGTATGCTGATATAAGGAGACAGCAGAGTGACAGAGATGAGCTTTTCTGTTTCATCATCCAGTCACAGGTTGAGGGGGAGCGTCTAGAATGACCTGGGCTCAGAGGAAGTGGGTTTGATGATGCTGGCAATCAGAATGAGGACATCTAGGGGCATACAAAAGAACTGCAAGGGAAATCTCTGGATTGAAGCCGAATATTACAGCAATAAGCTGGTTTTGTTATATTTCTTTTATCGGGCTATTCATTTTTATCTTTTTATTTTTGGCTGGCATTCTTTTTTAAATATTTCGAGCAGCACAGTGGTTAAATGGTTAGCACTTCCTCCTGGCAGCACTAGGGTCACTGGTTCTAATCCCAACCACAGCACCACCTGCCTGGAGTTTGCATGTTCTCCCTGTGTCTGTGTGGGTTTCCTCCCACACTCCAAAGACATGCTGGTAGGTGAATTGGCTCCTGTCTAAATTGTCCCTAGTATGTGTATGTATGAATGTGAGTTCGGGACCTTAGATTGTACGCCCCTTGAGGGTTAGGGACCTTAGATTGTACGCCCCTTGAGGGTTAGGGACCTTAGATTGTACACCCCTTGAGGGTTAGGGACCTTAGATTGTACGCCCCTTGAGGGTTAGGGACCTTAGATTGTACACCCCTTGAGGGTTAGGGACCTTAGATTGTACGCCCCTTGAGGGTGAGGGCCCTTAGATTGTACGCCCCTTGAGGGTTAGGGACCTTAGATTGTACACCCCTTGAGGGTTAGGGACCTTAGATTGTACGCCCCTTGAGGGTTAGGGACCTTAGATTGTACACCCCTTGAGGGTTAGGGACCTTAGATTGTACGCCCCTTGAGGGTTAGGGACCTTAGATTGTACGCCCCTTGAGGGTTAGGGACTGATGTGAATGTAATATATATATGTAAAGTGCTACATAAACTGATGGCGCTATATAAGTACCTGAAATAAATATACAAAATAATTATTACACTTCAGCAGTGACTGGGTTTCCTTGCCTATATTTTGGTAACAGACAGAACTGAAAACACACTTTTCTTCGCAGTAAACAAGGTCGCTTGTGACAGTTTCACTTCCTTTGGCTTTTTAACACATTTTCACAGTTTTTTTTTTTTTAAAAAACGGCTGAAAACAGATTGTTATATGCAGAAGATGAAGGCCAGCCACCAATTTGAGCCCGGGTTCACACTGATGTGGTGCTGAAGTCGCAGCGTTTTCAGTACGAATTTCGCATCGCATCAGAATCGCACCCCGTTCATCCGAAACGCTGCGGGTGTGTATGTTAACCACTTCAAGTCCGGACACTTCCACCCCCTTCCTGCCCAGGCCAATTTTCAGCTTTCAGCGCTATCACACTTGAATGACAATTGCGCGGTCATGCAACACTGTACCCATATGAATTTTTTTTGCATTTTTTTGAGACAGATAAAACTTTATTTTGGTGGATATTTACTCACCACTGGGATTTTTTTATTTTTTTTTTCTATGTAAATGAAAAAGTCCAAAAATGTTGAAAAAAGTGTTTTTCTTATAAAAGTTTGCAAATAAATAATCTTTCTTCAAAAATCTTGGCCAAAATTTATTCATCTATCTTTTTAGTAAAAAAAAAATAACCCAAATTAGTAGATAACCAATAATTATAATTTTTTTAAAAATATTTTTTACATTTTTATTTTATTTTTTTATATTAATAATTATTTAATTTTTTTTTACTGTCACCCTAGCAGTACTTTGTCACCATAGTGACACTGTACTACTTGTGGGGGGTGATGAAGATTTTTTTTTTATTACACTGATTGCTTTTACACCCATAAAGGCTGTAAAAGCAATCATTTCTCCTTCTCATTCTTGCAGCCATTGAGAAATACTGTGTGAGCTGTGATTGGTCACAGCTTGTCACATGGTACAAAGCAGTTGTGAATAGCCCTGTACCATGTGATCTCTGTGATCATTCACATATTTCACATGTAGTAAGCAATGAAGTGACATCTTGCTTACTACTGTCAGGGATCACGGCGCCGGAATCCTGCATCACGGCACCGTCCCCCCGCGCATGCGCACTGGCGGCGAGCCGCGGCTGACAGGACGCCGCGCATGCGCAGTAGAGAGTCGAGGGCGCACCTCAGGCGTCCAATGACAGCCGGGGGCGCGTCCCAGCCAGCCAATGACAGTGCAGGGCGCACTATTTAAAGATGCCCTGCACTGTCACCCATTGCCGCAAGGTCTTATGTTATCCTGGATACCTGCTCCTGTTCTGTGACCCTGTTTTCAACCCTGACTACGCTGCCTGCCCCTGTGTTTGACCCGGCTTGTCCTGACTACTCTGCCTGCTCCTGCGTTTTGACTCGGATATCCTGACTATTCTACGGACTGATTTACCTGGCTGACCCTGCATGTGACCTGACTACTCCTTGCCCGCTGATTTGGTACCCCGCTTACCCCCCACGGAACCACTATCCGTGCCACCCTTCTGGGGCCGTCATCCGCCTCATATCTGGCTCTCCCGGTACCTACACGCATCCCCGGAGGCCTTCCCAGCCGCTGGTGGGCCCGCCCAGAGGTCGTGACCTGGCCCGGGACTGTTTCAGTCCATCCCCACCATCAGGGGCCCTGGTGAAGGCACAGCCCGGGCTTAGACCCCACGCTCTGGGTTGGTCTATCAGTTGGCAGCCGGAAGGCTCCGCCTGGCGGATCATAACAGTACCTTGCGGCCATGACAGAGCCAGGAGGTGGACCGGCGTCCCTAGAGGATATTTGCCAGCACCTGGCAACTTTGACCCAGGCCTTCCAGAACTTCCACAGTCGCTGCGCCCGACTGGAAGACCGCATGGAGACATTAGCCCCCCAGACTCCCCCTGCTCAGAGTCCCGCGTCTGGGGAACCTCCCGCTACCCCCGACATCCGGAGCGGTTGCCACACCCTTAGCTCCTGAGCCCCGCGTTCCCCTGCCGGAACGGTTCCGTGGTGACCGGAGCCGCTTCCGAGCCTTCCGGAATGCTTGCACACTTTATTTTGACTTGCAGCCCCGCACATTCTCCTCCGAGACCGTCAGGGTGGGGTTTATAGTCTCTCTCCTTCAGGATGAGCCCCAGGATTGGGCTCACCGTCTGATGGAGAGGCGTGACCCCCAGCTTGACTCCGTGACCAAGTTCTTTCAGGCCATGGCAGTATTGTATGACGACCCTCAGCGGGCTGCCTCCGCAGAGGCTACCCTATACTCACTGCGGCAGGGCCGCCGGGCAGCCGAAGAATACGCGTCCGACTTTAGGCGATGCATGGGAGACACCAGATGGAACGATGCGGCCTTATGTCACCAGTTCCGCATCGGGCTGTCTGAGTCTCTCAAGGACGAACTAGCACGAGTAGGCCTACCAGACTCCCTGGAAAGACTGATTGAGTTGGCCATCCAGATTGACCGTAGGTTAAGGGAACGTCGGCTGGAAAGGAGCAACCAGGGTCAAAGGGTGGCATGGATCCCACCGAGAGACACAGCTCCAACCCCAGGGAACCATCCCCGAGGCACGGAATCGGGGGACAACCCGGAACCCATGCAACTGGGACTGGCCCGTTCCCACTTGTCGGTCGAGGAACGTCAAAGGAGACGAGCGCTGAACCTATGCCTGTACTGCGGGGAAGCTGGTCACCAGGTGCGCTCCTGTCCTGCAAAGATGAGTAAGTCCGCTTCCTTTTCTTTTACTTTACCCGCAGGAAGGGATGATCAGTCCAATTACCTGGCCATACCTGTGTCTTTGCAGCTCCCGGGAAGAACACTATCGGTGACCGCAATCGTTGACTCTGGAGCTTGTAGTTGCTTTGTCGACCTGACTTTTGCCCACCGGCAAAAAATACCACTGCAGACCAAAGAAAGGGGGTTCAACATCTTCTTGGCAGGCAGACGGCTCCAGTATAAAATCAGGGGTGGTGGACCAGGAGACACCACCCATTTTTACCACAATAGCAGACCATCACCAGGAGTTCCTCCGTTTGGATGCCATCGCATCACCCCTATTTCCAGTCATTCTGGGGCTCCCTTGGCCTGCGGGCCCATAACCCCCAGATTGACTGGGAAAGGGGAACGATTCAATTTAGGTCACCCTACTGTTTGAATCACTGCCAGGTCACGGGATCCGTGGGTCCCCGGGTCCTCCTGTGCTTGGACGGTGATGCCAATCTATCCCAGACTATTCCCCCGGCCTACCATGACTTCTTGGACGTTTTCAGTAAGCGGGGGGCTGACGTTCTTCCCCCACACACGTTCTTACGATTGTCCTATAGACCTCCTACCCGGATCTGAGATCTCGTTCGGCCGGATCTTTCCCTTGTCAGAAACGGAATCGGGTGTACTGAGGGAATATATTGACGAGAACCTGCGGAAGGGGTTTATTCGTCCTTCCACATCCCCAGCCGGGGCCGGGCTGTTCTTCGTAGAGAAGAAGGACAAATCGTTACGGCCCTGCATAGACTACCGTGATCTAAACAAGATAACGGTAAAGAACCGTTATCCCTTACCGTTAGTCCCCGAGCTCCTCCAGAGAGATTGAAATCGGCAATGATATTCACTAAACTAGACCTGCGGGGGGGGGGGGCTATAACCTTGTCCGTATCAGGGAGGGGGATGAGTGGAAGACTGCCTTCCGTACGAGATTCGGTCACTACGAATATCTAGTGATGCCATTCGGGCTCTGTAATGCACCGGCAACCTTCCAGCATTTCATCAACGATGTTTTTCGTGATTTCCTCGATGTCTTTGTAGTAGTTTATTTGGATGACATCCTAATTTTCTCCCCTTCACTGGAGGTTCATCGAGGTCACGTAGTACGGGTATTAGAACGGTTGCGTCAACACGGGCTATACGCCAAGGCAGAAAAGTGCTGTTTCGAACAGCGCGAAATCACGTTCTTGGGACTGGTTCTCTCTTCCGCGGGGGTCGCGATGGATCCCCAGAAAGTCACGGCGATCTTAGATTGGCCAATACCCGCCGACAAAAAGGGGGTACAGCGTTTCATCGGCTTTTCCAATTTTTATAGAAAGTTTGTTAGGAACTTCTCCGGTCTGGTCTCCCCGATCACGCAACTGACGAAACAAGGGGTCCGTTTTAAGTGGACTTCCGAAGCCCAGACGGCATTCGAGAAGCTCAAAAAATTATTCACGTCTGCGCCCATCCTCTGCCATCCGGATACTTCCCTCCCATATGTCTTGGAAGTGGATGCCTCTGAGAACGCGGTAGGTAGGAGCGGTTCTGTCCCAAAGAAATGGAACCAAGGAACTACTGCACCCCGTGGCGTTCTTCTCCAGGAAGTTGACGCCGGCTGAACGTAACTATGACATTGGAGATCGGGAGCTCCTGGCCATCAAATCCGCTCTAGAAGAATGGAGGTACTTACTGGAAGGAGCCACACACCCAATCCTAGTCTTCACTGATCACAAGAACCTGGAATATTTAAGAACAGCGAAACGACTGAGACCTCGCCAGGCAAGATGGGCTCTTTTCTTCTCGCGATTCACTCTCCATATTACGTACCGACCCGTACTAAGAACACAAAACCAGACGCTCTGTCCCGCATGTTTGAGGACCCCGATGACACAGTGGCACCTGACACCATCTTACCGTCCGGGAGTTTCCTTGCTCTACAAACAGAACTTCGTTCCAGACTCCTCGACGCTTCTACAGGACTACCAGTTCCGTCGGGGTCACCCCTCCTGAACCACGGCGGGCTGTTTTGGAAGGAAGACCGGATCATGGTCCCAGAAGAGGTGCGAACCCTGGTCCTAGGGCACTGCCACGACCATCGAATGGCAGGTCACTTCGGGGTTGCGAAAACTCTGGAACTACTACGGCGCTCGTTCTGGTGGCCGAACATGAATAAGGACTGCGAGCGTTACGTCCAGACCTGCTCCACCTGTCAAAGGAACAAGCCCTCCAGGAGCCGGGCATGGGGATTGTTACGTCCATTACCAATACCCAAGCGGGCCTGGCAAATGATTGCCATGGACTTTGTGGTCGAACTCCCACCATCCCAAGGCTACACAGCAATAATGGTGGTCGTGGACCGCTTCTCAAAGATGGCACATTTTATACCCCTGGAGAAAAACCCCATCGGCACCTGAAACGGCACGGATCTTCATTAAGGAAGTAGTCAGGCTTCATGGGGTCCCCGAAGATATAGTGTCAGATCGGGGAGTCCAATTCACCTCCAGGTTCTGGAACTCCTTGTGTAAAGCACTAGGAATCAAGCTGTCGCTTTCATCCGCCTACCACCCGCAGACCAACGGCCAAACCGAGAGGACCAACCAAACGCTGGAACAATACCTGCGATGTTACACGTCCTACCTTCAGGATGACTGGTTGACGTTGTTGCCGTCCGCAGAATTCGCGTACAACAACTCGAGTCACTCTGCAACGGGGCAATCCCCGTTCTTCGCCAATTACGGGTATCATCCCACATTTCTCCCTGACCTGATGCCTGAAAACCCGGGGTACCGGCATCTCAGGACGTCTTAAACTTCTTCTCTGTCAATAACAAGACAATTCAGGAAGCCATCGCCAAAGCCCAAGGGGACAGCAAGAGGGCATTCGACAGGAAAAGAAGAGGAGAATTACTGCTTCAACCAGGGGATCGGGTATGGCTGTCAACGACCAACTTGAAGATGCTGCATCCTTCGAGGAAGCTGGGACCCAAGTACATTGGCCCATTTCCGGTAAAGCGTGTAGTCAACAAGGTGGCCTACGAGCTTGAGCTTCCGCAGACCTTCAGGGTACATCCTGTGTTCCATGTGTCTCTCCTGAAGCCATCCAGACCGGATCCTTTCCCGGACCGTGAGTCCAGACCTCCCGAGGCAATCTCCGTAGATGACCAGGAGGAATACGAAGTGGAGACTATCCTCAGTTGCCGACGGAGGGGGAACCAGACCCAGTTCCTGATAAAATGGAAGGGTTATGGCCCTGAGGAGAACTCATGGGAACCCGCCCAGAACATTCACGCTCCCCGGCTCATCCGGGAATTTTTTCGTGTGGACACCCGCGGTGGAGAGATCAGTGGGGCTACCGGAGGGTGCCCATTGGGGGGGGGGGGCAGTGTCAGGGATCACGGCGCGGGAATCCTGCATCACGGCGCCGTCCCCCCCGCGCATGCGCACTGGCGGCGAGCCGCGGACTGACAGGACGCCGCGCATGCGCAGTAGAGAGTCGAGGGCGCGCCTCAGGCGTCCAATGACAGCCGGGGGCGCGTCCCAGCCAGCCAATGACAGTGCAGGGCGCACTATTTAAAGATGCCCTGCACTGTCACCCATTGCCGCAAGGTCTTATGTGATCCTGGATACCTGCTCCTGTTCTGTGACCCTGTTTTCAACCCCTGACTACGCTGCCTGCCCCTGTGTTTGACCCGGCTTGTCCTGACTATTCTGCCTGCTCCTGCGTTTTGACTCGGATATCCTGACTATTCTACGGACTGATTTACCTGGCTGACCCTGCATGTGACCTGACTACTCCTTGCCCGCTGATTTGGTACCCCGCTTACCCCCCACGGAACCACTATCCGTGCCACCCTTCTGGGGCCGTCATCCGCCTCATATCTGGCTCTCCCGGTACCTACACGCATCCCCGGAGGCCTTCCCAGCCGCTGGTGGGCCCGCCCAGAGGTCGTGACCTGGCCCGGGACTGTTTCAGTCCATCCCCACCATCAGGGGCCCTGGTGAAGGCACAGCCCGGGCTTAGACCCCACGCTCTGGGTTGGTCTATCAGTTTGCAGCCGGAAGGCTCCGCCTGGCGGATCATAACAACTACTCTGCATGTGATCACTGATTGGCCAATCAGTGATCACATGATCGGATCGCGGACATGATCGGATCGCAGTGCCACGCACTCCCAGGGAGCGAACACAGTCCAAAACGGCGGGCGCAGTTTATGAACGGCAACCCGCCCCTGCACTGCCACCGCCCGGCCGTTTATATACAGCGGCTGGACAGGAAGTGGTTAGGTTAACAACACCCTGAAAGCGGTCCAAAAAACGCGGTGCGATGTGCAGAAACAGATCACATAGGTGTGAATACCCATGCGATCCGATTCTAGTGCGGACCAAAAAAAGGGTCCTGCAAGTTTTTGGTGCAATTAGAGCCATACAAAATGTACGTCTCCGACCGCACCCGCACACAAATAGCATGTGATCTGCACTGGAATGCGATGCGGTTGCTGCTGCGAATCACATGCGATGTACCGCACCGCACATGTATGTGAACCCAGGCTAAAGTTGAAGTTTAATCTGTTTATATTTTGCCTTCCCTGGTTCCTCCTTTTCGCCCTCATCAGCTGCTAATGACATTTTTAACTTCTTGCTGACTGGCAGTAGTCACTTCACGTGGCCGGCGGCTCTGTTATTCCCCGGAAAACATACTTGTGTATTGTCCCACTAACCCGCCTTGTGTGCGCCCCCCTGGGGCCTGCAGCCACGCGATCCACGACCACTGTGCCCACCTGACACAGCAGATTAGACATGTGCAGAACGAAGACATTTGTTTCATTTTTGTTTTGGAGCGAATCGTTAAGTTACTAATTTAGGGGGGAGGTTGGAGTGTACTCGGGTGTCAGGTCACCCCCAAGAAGATTATAAACTAGTGCCACGTCCAGGGGTGGACTGACAACTCATGGGGCCCCGGGCAATAGGGGATCATGGGGCCCCTGTGTCCTTGCCCAAACTCAAAAAAGCCTATGAAAAAGGTACCAGGGGCATCTCATGGGGCCCCCTACTGACCCCGGGCCTTCGGGCAGTGCCAGAGTTTCCAAATGGTCAGTCCGCCCCTGGCCACGTCCTGATTAGACCACACAAAGAAAAAAGGGGGAAGTGCAGATGGACTTTAGAGGCAAAGAAACCATAAACACATATTGGTAAAATCGCTTATATTTTATTTTCTGGATTGTTGGCTATTACTGCGCCCCCATATCTGGTCCCCTGGACGGCCCCTCGCCTCGTGGGAACATAGAGGAGGTCTGCCATCTATGACTGGGGGGTTTACCACTGCATGGTGCACAATAATGTGATATGTAAGTCCTACTATATTTGTAAGGGATTTCCGGCAAGATGAATTGCGAATAGAAGGGCGTATAAGAACGTCCGGAGAAGAGTGGTTGGTTGTGCGCATGCACGCAGAAATGCGTGATCACGCACACACACGGCGAAGATTGGCACCAGACGGGCTGTTTAAAGAGTGTCTCTGCCCATGATAGGTGCTGACTGGTCTTCAGCTCCCCCGTGTCCTGCTTGTTCCTGTGTGATTCCTTTGTTGCTGACCCGGCTTGTTCCTCACCTGACTCTGATTGCTCTCCTTATTGATACTGGCTCCTGACTTTGGCTCTGCTCCTGACCTTGGCTTTCCTTCCGATTCTGTACCGTGCTGCCCGACTGTTGATGACCCTGGCTATTCCATGACACTGCTCCTGTCTCTTACCCTCACTACCTGCCTTGTTCTGGTGCACGCCTGGCGATCTACCATACCAGCTCTGCTTGTTACTACTGTGCCTGAATCAGAAGATCATCAGTCTTCCAAGGTCATCATCTGCAAGAGCTGCAAACAACAACTACTGGCACTCTTGTCCCCCTGGTCCCTAGACTCCCTCTGTTCCAACTCCAGTTGGGTCAGGGCTAGTGACACAAGTGAGGCCGACCTCGTCATTTCAGGTACGTGACAATATTGCTGTATGACCCTTGTCATATGATGTCATTTTGTATATTCAAATATGTACAGTTGCAAGAAAAAGTATGTGAACCCCTTGGGATTACATGGAGATTTGCATGAATTGGGCATAAAATGTGCTCTGAACGTCATCTAAGTCACAACAATAGAAGAACACAGTCTGCTGAACATAATACTACACAAACATTACATGTTGCCATGGTTTAATTGCACATAACATGTAAACATTCACAGTGCAGGGAGGAAAAAGTATGTGAACCTTTGGACTTAGTACCTGGTTGACCCTCCTTTGGCAGCAATAACCTCAACCAAACGTTTCCTGTAGTTGCAGATCAGACCTGCACAACGATCTGGAGTCATTTTGGACCACTCCTCTTCACAAAACTGTTTCAGTGTAGCAATATTCTTGGGATGTCTGGTGTGAATCGCTCTCTTAAGGTCATGCCACAGCATTTCAATCTGGTTGAGGTCAGGACTCTGACTGGGCCACTCCAGAAGGCGTATTCTGTGCTGTTGCAGCCATTGTTTTGTTGAATTACTTGTATGCTTTGGGTCATTGTCCTGTTGCATCGCCCATCCTCTGCGGAGCTTCAGTTGGCGGACAGATGGTCGTACGTTTTCCTGCAAAATGTCTTGATAAACTCTGGAATTCATTTTCCCATCAATGACAACAATCCGTCCAGGCCCTGAGGCAGCAAAGCAGCCCCAAACCATGATGCTCCCTCCGCCATGTTTCACAGTGGAGATGAGGTTTTGATGTTGGTGTGCTGTGCCTTTTTTTTCTCCACACATAGTGTTGTGTGTTCTTCCCAAACAACTCAATCTTGGTTTCATCTGTCCACAGTATATTTTGCCAGTAGTGCTGTGAAACATCCAGGTGCTCTTTTGCAAACTTCAAACGTGCTGCAATATTCTTTTTGGACAGCAATGGCTTCCTCCGTGGTGTCCTCCCATGTACTCCATTCTTGTTTAATGTTTTCCTTATTGTAGATGTGTCAACAAAAATGTTAGCATGTGCCAGAGATTTCTGTAGGTGTTTAGCTGACACTCTGGGATTCTTCTTTACCTCATGCAGCATTCTGCGCTGTGCTCTTGCAGTCATTTTTACAGGACGACCACGCCTAGGGAGAGTAGCAACAGTGATAAACTTTCTCCATTTGCACACAGTCTGTCTTGCTGTGGACACATGAACATCAAGGCTTTTGGAGATACTTTTGTAACCCTTTCCAGCTTCATGCAAGTCAACAATTCTTGATGGTAGGTCTTCTGAGAGCTCTTTTCTGCGAGGCATGGTTCACATCAGACAGTGCTTCTTGAAACCAGTAAACCCAAAACAGGTGTGTGTTTTTTTAAGGGCAGGACAGCTGTCAGCAACACATCCAATATCATCAAACTGATTGGAGTCAAGGTTGGCTCACTCCTGGCTCCAATTAGCTCTGGGAGAAGTCATTAAGCTAGGGCCTCACATACTTTTTCCTCCCTGCACTGTGAATGTTTACATGTTATGTGCAATTAAACCATGGCAACATGTAATGTTTGTGTAGTATTATGTTCAGCAGACTGTGTTCTTCTATTGTTGTGACTTAGATGACGTTCAGAGCACATTTTATGCCTAATTCATGCAAAACTCCACGTAATCCCAAGGGGTTCACATACTTTTTCTTGCAACTGTATATCTCTTTTTTAGATTTTACTACTAAGCTCCTGAAGAATCGATTGTTGTCGCTGTCACAATCGCAAGATCGCCGCCACCAAACATGCAACAATCTCACGACCGCGACCACCAATATGTCACGATCGCGGCGTCAGACCCCAGACCTTCTCACCAAACTCGTGACCGAAGGACTGGCCCATCTAAAACCGCGATGTGACGTGCGTAACAATGCCACACCCAGCTGCACCCTACACAGCGATTTCCCAGCTAATGGATTTCAATCTGTGCCTGCAGCCTGGATGCGCTTGTTACTGGGTCAAGTTAGTTACGCAACTAACCCTTACACTTCCACCACCCCTTTTTGTACAGGGAAACTCTCTTTAGTGGTTGAAAAGTTGTCTGTCCAATACGGTCACCGCAGGCCGATTGGGCAGAGGATTAAACAAACACAGTAGCGTCTCTTTAGAGGCAGGAATTCGTAAATTGCAATTAAGTGCTTTAGAAACAGTTTAGCACTTTCAGAAAGAAAGATTTATTACTAAAAGAGTCAAACAGGTGCAATAAAATATTTGCAGAAAAAGATGTAACTAAGATGTATATATATACATACAAAGAACCATAGCACAGCAAAGAGATATCAGAGAGGAAGTAAAAGGGTTAAGTTACTTGCCAATTAACTCTTAGCCATAAGCAGATCCACATTTCAGAGCAAAGGGTCTCCCCAGGTGGTATTGATGTTACAATTGGGAGATGTCTTCAACTTAACTTTTTAGGCCTGCTAGCCTGTGTTTTAAAGTCCCCGAGCAGGGGGGTGGCTCTGATTAACTGACCAATACTCTGTTCAGGGAGGGATCGTCGGGTGGACTCTGAATTAGAACCAACATCTTCATAATCCATGATATGAAACATAGGGGACAAACTGACATGAGGAATGTTAATTTAATTTGGTCACCTATGCTGGTAGGTTTTATGAGGTTACAATCTCTTTCAAGGCCTGGGAAAAGCTACCTTATCTCGGTTACGAGGTGAGAGCTTACACACGTGTTTGGACAGCCAGGCTCTGTGTCTCTGGGGGGCCTTTGTAGCTCTGGGCCCCCTGCTGCTCTAGCCTGCCAGCAAGTTTTAACACACACACATCTGTCACTGTGCCTCTCAGGAAGGGAGGGGGAAGGAGAATAAAGGATAAATGAATACTTTTAATAAAAAGGGGGAATCTGCGTCCATCTCTGATGAGCAAGTTTGCTACAGTCGCGAAACATGTTGGGCCATTCTTCCGGCGGCTTAATGTCTCTCACCCCCCATAGAACCTTCCTGGTGGTTACAGTATGCCTTATCACTAGTTTTGTTCCATACAATATGGTGGGCTGTGGGACATTGTCTGCGGGGACATTGTACAATGACTTTTTAACTGAAAGATGTTCTTCATGACACATTGTCAAAATAAAGTATAAGCGATTTTACAAATATGTGTTTATGGTTTCTGTGCCTCTAAAGTCCATCTGCACTTCCCCCTTTTTTTTTCTTTGTCAAGTTACTAATTTAGTTTTATTGCATTTGTATCAAAATTTGTTTTGTTTAATAGTTTTCTATGGGGATTAAAATTTTTCCAATGGATTTGACGTATTTGAATCAAAACTATCAAATCGATCTGAATTTATTGTGAAGAATAGCTGGTTCTATTCTATTTGAAATTCCAATTTCAGAAGACGGTTATATTCTTTCTTTTACATAGTTAGTCTGGCTCAAAAAATACGAAAGTCCATCCAGTTCAACCATTAAAAAAAAAGTTATAATCCTACACCCACAGTTGATCCAGAGGAAGGCAAAAAGCCCAGCAAACCATGATCCAATTTGCTCCTGCTGGGAAAAAAAAAATCTTTCCTGATCTCCTGAGAGGCAAACGGATATTTCCTGGATCAACCTTACCTATAAATGTTCATATCCAGTTCAGGGGCGGACTGACCATTTGGGCACTGCCTGAGGGCCCAGGGTCAGTAGGGGGCCCCATGAGATGCCCCTTGGTACCTTTTCATAGGCTTTTTTGGGTGTGGTTTGAGTGTGGGTGAGGACACAGGGGCCCCATGATCACCTATTGCCCGGGGGCCCCATGAGTTGTCAGTCCACCCCTGATCCAGTTATATTCTGTATATCCAAGAAAGAATCCAGGACTTTTTTTTTAAAGCAATCCACTGAGCTGGCCAAAACCAACTCTGGAGGGAGTCTATTCTACATTTTCACAGCTCTCACTTTTCTTTTCTTTTCTATTCTATTTTGTTCTAAACGATTCTATTCCTGTTTTATCTGTTGTATTTTATTCTTTTCTTTTTCATTCTATTCTGTTTTATTCTATACCAGGGCTTAAAATTTGGAGTCTAGACCTACTAGCCAGGCACAAACCTTACTCTCCTCCAGTTGTCCCACCCAACCTTGCCCAGGTCCACCTCCAACCCCAACCGCGG